AGTTTAAATATAAAAGTGGTTGGGGGGGGGGGGGGGGGTGTCATGAATTGAACAAATTTGAATCTACATTATCTGAGGATGCTTCCGTTTAAATATGACCAATCATGGCTTTGCTGTTCTTGAGTAGAAGATTTTTAAAGATTTAACCTATGTATTCCTATGTAAAACTTTGATCACCCATTGTGGCCCCACCCGACCCCCAGGGGTCATGTTTGAACAAACTTGAATGTACACTATCTAAGAATGCTTCCATATAAATATGACCAATCATGGCTTTGCTATTCTTAACAAATTGTTTTTTTTAAAGATTTTTACTATGTGTTCCAATGTAAAACTTTGATTGCCCATTGTGGCCCCACCCGACCCCCGGGGGTCATGATTCGAACAAATTTGTATGTACACTATCTGAGGATGCTACCATATAAATATGACCAATCATGGCTTTGCTATTCTTAACAAATTGTTTTTTTTTTAGAATTTTTACTATGTGTTCCTATATAAAATTTTGATCGCCCATTGTGGCCCCACCCGACCCCCGCGGGTCATGATTTGAACAAATTTGAATGTACACTATCTGAGGATGCTACCATATAAATATGACCAATCATGGCTTTGCTGTTCTTGAGAAGAAGATTTTTAAAGATTTTTCCTATATATATTCCTATGTAAAACTTTGATCGTCCATTGTGGTCCCACCCGACCCCCGGGGGTCATGAGTTGAACAAACTTGAATCTACACTACCTGAGGATGCTTCCAAGTAAATATGACCAATTATGGCTTTGCTGTTCTTGAGAAGAAGATTTTTAAATATTTTTCCTATATATTCCTATGTAAAACTTTGATCGCCCATTGTGGCCCCACCCTACCCCCGGGGGTCATGATTTGAACAAACTTGAATCTACACTACCTGAGGATGCTTCCAAGTAAATATGACCAATCATGGCTTTGCTGTTCTTGAGAAGAAGATTTTTGAAGATTTTTCCTATATATTCCTATATAAAACTTTGATCGCCCATTGTCGCCCCACCCGACCCCCGGGGGTCATGATTTGAAGAAACTTGAATCTACACTATCTGAGGATGCTACCATATAAATATGTCCAATTATGGTTTTGCTGTTCTTGAGAAGAAGATTTTTAAAGATTTTTCCTGTATATTTCCTATGTAAAACTTTGATCGCCCATTGCGGCCCCACCCTACCCCCGGGGGTCATGATTTGAACAAACTTGAATCTACACTACCTGAGGATGCTTCCACATAAGTTTCATGTTTTCAAGCACAGTGGTTCTTGAGAAGAAGATTTTTTAATGATGCCATTAATTTTTCACGAATTCTTAATTATCTCCCCTTGGAAGAAGGCGTGGCCCTTCATTTGAACAAACTTGAATCCCCTTTACCCAAGGATACTTTGTGGCAAGTTTGGTTGAAATTGGCCCAGTGGTTCTTGAGAAGAAGTCGAAAATGTGAAAAGTTTACAGACGGACAGACGGACAGACAGACGGACTACAGACAAAATGTGATCAGAAAAGCTCAATTGAGCCTTCGACTCAGGTGAGCTAATAACTGTAATTAAATTCATCAAATGTCCCTTACCCCCATTTGGCACAATTTGTAGAGATCCTCCTGTAATGAGGGCCAAAGCTGGGGCCATTCCCTCTTGGCAAGTTCTACAGTGATTCGAGCCACAGCATCTTTTATGTGGAATTCCTCCTCAAGAATCCCAAGAGTGCCCTGAAATGAAAATTGATCTCCCATATACTCCAATTAATAAAGCAAATAATTTGGGAATATTGCTTTCACTGTATGTTTCATTTACTAGCCCATTAAGCTTTTACAATACATGTACCCTACAGGCACAGGCAACACAAATTTGGGATATTACAGAGGTGTTAAGCCCCTTCTGAACCATTCAGTAATGTCAGAGGTTTTTGTCAGTAGATAGGTAGATATTTATTTAGTATACAAAATACTTTGCTACAATACATTTTTGACAAGGTAATATTGAGAAATAAATATAAAGTCTGACACTAAAAATTGGAATTAAGATCACAGTAACTTGAGCTTTCTTCTATAATCTCATAGTGGCAATACATGGATACATTTTGCTATGTTAAACTTTGAGAATTTCTATACAGATGATTCTTGAAGCCTTGAGCTTTGATCTCTCGAAGTGAGTCTCCAGTCCAATTTTTTCTCTTATACAAATAATCAACTTTACTCTTCATTTTTCAAACTTTCAATCTCTCAATGCCCTTGATCTCTTGAAGTCAAACTACCATTCAATAGTGCATATTCTATTGTATTTTACCCTCAATACCTCGAATGGATTACATGTATAAATGTGTATGTAACAAAGCTTGACCTGATTAGACTGCATGAGAACCACAATGTCACAATACTTTTCAACTAATAAATTATCACCTGGACTTAAAATAATTAATTCCAACTAAAGGGAGATAATTTGGAGATGCAACAAGTGTTAAAAATAAATTATGAAATCACAGACTAATTTTGCTGTGTGTTGTGATTGACTATGGATGTGGTGATCAGCTTATTATCAGTTATATGCAAATACAACAAACTCAAAAATCATATATACCTCTGTTTATAATGATTATTATACACATATATTGACACCACATCTTTTTAAAATATTTATGAAAAAATATTTAGCAGTGTTGTTTTTTGTAAAAAATATGAATCTTGAATATCAACAAACAGTTAGACATTTTCACTGTTTTCTTGGAGTTAATGTCTTCTTAACAAAGAATAAATGAATAGAATGACAATAAACATTTATTTTAATTTATCTAATGTATTCAAAACTGTATATTTACATAAAAAAAATGCAAAGGAAGATTGCTGTTAAAATTTAACTTATAAATTTCTTCTGATAAAATTAATTTTAAAAAACAATCAAGTAATCAGAAAATTTCAAAACTCTTGAAACACCAAACTCTTGATCTCACAAAGTTTTTCCAAGGTCCCGCAGACTTCAAAGTATTAAGAGTCACCTGTATATAAATGAGAATTGATTGTAATGTTATCTTCTGTCCCTTTTTTTAAAATCGACAATGAAGTTGAAATTTACCCTCTTTCAACATCCAACTCTATACTAGAGACTGACCATCAGTATTTGTGAAGTTTGGGTTATCATTGTAAAGAGTTTAAATCACAAAGAATCAAATTTTCAGCATAGACGGAAATTTCCAATGGTAAATCTCTAATCCTTATTTTGACAAAAAATGTGTAATCCATACTTTGACAAAAAATCTGGGACAAATATGGAATTTTCAGCACAGTAATCACCTCTGTAATCAAGCAATTAAAATCAAACCAAAATGTATACATTATGTGAATTTTTATACTTTTGAAATACTTTTTCTTTACTTACATTTGCCATAAACTGTAATGCATTTGTCTTCAGATACTCTTTTTCTTCAGTTTTCATATCAATCCACCTAAATCTGGAACACAAAATATTCATTAAGAAAAAAAAATGGCACTGTAGTCTTTACCTCTATATCTTGTATGTGCTCTCCTTTAACTTTTCTTCAATTGTAATTTCATTCTGCTCTCTCTCTCTCTCTCTCTCTCTCTCTCTCTCTCTCTCTGCCTTCACATGAAAAATGCAAAGGCTTTCTTTTTTTAAATTGAAAAAAACACATTTGTTCATGATTGGCAATCTACTTGCTTGATTTATGAGAGCACTTCCTTAACTAAAAAAGATCAGAGTAGCTAGTCCCTACGCAGCTCTAAATAAAGCTGCAGTCTTGAATGCTATGCTAGCCTAGTCATAACAAAGTTTTAATTCATTCAGTGCATTCTAATGACTTAGATATCTATTCTAGCCTATCAGCTAGGTTAGCTGCTATGATATTGAATGCAGCATAGCAGAGTTATCTTTTCTTAAATTCTCTTACTTGATGGCATGTTCAAGCAGCTGTAAACCAAAATGGCGTATTACTGGTTTGTAGGACTTCTCAGCTAACACAAGACCTACAGGGACACAGAAGGGAGATGACTCCTTAAATTCTTCACAGATCTAAAAAAAAATTATCATTAAGGACATAAATAAATGTTTTTTATGTAAGTCTGTTTCTGCTATCATTATTCTTTTTCACCAAAAACCAATGCCAATGGATCACAAACAAGGTGCAGTGCAAAATTTTAAAAATGAATTTACATGCATCGACACATAATGGTCAGAAATATTATATGATTATGTATATACATGTATGCTTCATAATACATTAAAACTTACACATTACTTGAGAATTTTTTTTCAAATGTATGGAATTACAAATTATAAACACATAATATATGGCTCATAATCAGATCCAGTCTAAAGACTATTTCTACCTACGAAGCTAGTTATGGCTACCTAGGTATTTAATCCTACTCTAAAGATGCATCTGAAAAAAGGTAAAAGTAGGTAGAAGAAGCTTCTTTTAGTAGGATTAAATACTAGCTATTAATAGCTAAGTAGAAATAGTCTTTGGACTGGACCTGATAATGAAAGAATGAAAGTACAATAATGACTGTTCAAATAGATCCAACCAGAGACATAACATGGTCCAACCTTGTGGGCGTTTTGTCTGTCATTTTGCGAACTTGACGGATTTAAAATAGTCTCTATTGCATTTGAAAGCTCAGCAGCTAGAGCAGAGACTTGTGGATCCATTTTGCCTCTGGAAACATCAACGGGTCATGTCTTTTGTGTTGTATCTGTCATTCCACATGGTAAAAAAAAAAAATTCATATCGAGTTACTTCCCGCTTTTAATCACAGTCTTTTGATCCCGATTAGTTAATTTGTTCCCAATTTTTAGATAGATACTTTCATTTAAAAAGATGATAGAATAATATATGACTATATTTTTTTTTAATTTTAAAATAATACACCTAATAAGCAAATTTATACCCTTATTTGATTGATAATTTAATCAGTTTTTTTCCTTTTGATCGGGATCGACATTCAGACTCGTCAAGAAGAAAGTAGTCGAAGTCGGGCAGAACAGTAAAACACTAAAATAGTCAATAGAACCAACAGAGAAGACTAAAGGTATCTTTTCGATATATATATTTATTTGTTAAGGCTTATTGAAAAATTTCAAGTAACTTAGTAACATTTTTATGCAGAAAGAATGCTTATCATTCAAGCTCAACAAAACCAGTCCGAAGAGATATGTAAGCAGACACATACGTTGCAATATTGCATTTATTACTCACCAGGTTGGGACCACTTGCCAGAATGAGATATTATAGCCCCTTTGGGTTATAATGGGATATAAATTTACAGTGCAAAAAAAAATGAATAAAATAATGAAGCTGGAAATATTGTGAATCCTCATAAAAATCATCCGCACGCAGATCAAAGAGAGGGGGATGTATTTCCTAATAGTCAGTCAATAAATTTTTAATTCATATTTTAATGCCAGTACAGTGGAGCTTAGTTTATCTGGATGCTTGTGTTCCCAAGCAAATAGTCTGGATTAATGAAGCGTCCAGATTACTGAAACAGATCTTTTATAATAGGTAGAATTAAGTTTAATTCTTTTCCTCAAAAAGTTCATCTGGAAGGTGAAGTATCTAAATTATGGGCATTTGAATTAACGAAGCTCCACTGTAATTGGAATTTATCTGGATTTTTCATCATAATATTCTTATAATATTTGTTACTGGTACTAAGTATAATTAATGGATATTTGTGACAACATAAATTATGTATATGCAGATTTGTCATTAAGAATGAAGATGGGAAAATATATTGTGATGTTACAACACAAAATATCCCAAGGCAGTTACAGTGTGAGCTGATATGGCTCTTTTAAAGCCTGGGTTCTCTCGACACAATCTATTCAGAAATATATCAAAATACCTTATAAATAGAGAATTATATATGGCAAAATCTGTATCACACCTCATATCAACCTGAGACTCCTATATCTGGCCAAATACCAGAGGGCTGATATTGTTCGGGGGTTGTTATGGGATGTGATACAGATTTTAACATATATTTATATATATATATATATATATATATATATATATATATATATATATATATATATATATATAAAGCACTAAAAATGACCAACGACACGAACAATAATAATTGTCAAATTTTCAGGACAACCTGTCTTTTTTCCGATTTCCAAATTTATAATATATCCAAATTCATATTTCAAAATTGTCCTTCAATATTATCTTTCTTTAATTTCTTTTTATCATGTAGAGTTACGCTATTTTGAGAGAATAAGACAATGTACGATTTACTGTTGGCCGTAATTAATTAGCGATAATTAATTCGTTCAATTATATAAATCACACTTCACCAGACTGCACCCGATAGACCGGACGCAATTCATAGCGCTCCGGATTTCTTTGTTCACAACTGTTTATAAACTCCAAAATAAACATGTAACATTGTAAATATTTAGTGTTTGGTAGTTTAGTAGTAGTGCTAGTTGTTTTTGCTTCTCTATTTCCTTTGTTTTTATGACTTCTTAACGTTTTTCTTTGTCCTGAGGAAGGGACAGGATGTCCCGAAAATTTGACAATTATTATTGTTCGTGTCGTTGGTCATTTTTAGTGCTTTATATAAATTTCCATCCGTGACCTTGTATCTACTTAGTAGATCCGACACTTAGGATATACAGTGTTGTTGGTTTTTAGTGCTTTTTATATATATATATATATATATATATATATATATATATATATCGTATATATACAGTAAAACTTGTCTTATCTGAACATCACTGGTTCCAAAAAAATTGGCCAGATTAAACAATATTCCAGATTACACAACATTTTAAACATTTGAATTTACTGAAAGGGACTAAAGTTTACATCGTATTAGGGAAGACTTTGGATTTCACAACATCTAGATTAGACAAGTTTCACTGTATTTGAAAATAGTGTCCACAATTTAATATATATATATGCATTTTTAATCAATGCTAGTTAAAATAATTAAATTATGTACATGTATATCGTCTTCATTCATAATGATTCATTGAATAGATATATTTCAAAGGAGGCTGAAATACTGGTGACGAAAAAAATGTATACATGTTAAGAATATTTACAAATCACAGAACAGTGACTCCTATGGGTCAAGAAAATATAGGTTAGAAATATGAAAGTACACTGTATTCTGCCATCACAACATTAGACATCTGATACACAGCTACTGATTCATTCAATTATGTTGCTAAAAATACATGTGTATTTTTTTTTCCAATATGCAAACTATATAATAAAACTTTTCTCAATCATGTTGTATACTCAAAGTTATTCATGATATATACTCAAAGATGTGTATTTATTGCACATCTCTTTGAACTTCACAGACATGAAAGGATTTATAGCATTATTTGTCCACTGTGTATATGGCTTGAGTAAATAAAGACCAGCATACTTGACACCCCATTGTTGTGTACGCTAATTCTCAAAAGCTTAATCATACATCCATATCCATTGTTCAAGCAATCAATCTCAATGTTTGTGTCATCAAATTATATTTGATTTTTCATCATGAACACTGGCTATTTTAGCATGGATGGCAGAATAGCTAGGGGATAAAGAAATATTAATGCAATTCCCTTGAAAGCTATGTAAAGCAGAATTTAAGTGATTTCAAAAACCACAAGTCTTAAAGTTTGTATTCTTTGTATTTGTGGTCATGATTATACTTCTGCATTATTTTCCAACTGAATAAAGTTTATACTTTGTTTTCAGATGTATAGATCACATTACAATAGGCCACATCAGAGGACCTATTCCATGGGACCCTATCAAGAAAGGCAAATACATGATTCACAGAGGAGACTGAACGCACTGTTCCAGACAAGAATAACTCCAAGGTTGGAGAGGATTATGAACAAGCATTATCAGTTTACCAGACCATGGAATCCTTTTGACCGATGGGAAAATCAAGCCTTGCCAAGTCTCTTACCATCCTCTGGAAATTTATCTGATTCTGTTTATCCAGACCCTTCACCAGATTACCAAAGCATCGAAACCATTCTGGCAGAAGAGCAGGACCAACAGGGTGAAGTTGATACATATCCAGATGTCGACTTGAATGATTCTGTAGTAACAGGTAGTGGTTACAATACAAAATACCACATTTCTGATCCAAGAAATGATAGTGGTTTTGGGTCCACTTCTGATACTCCAACATCCCTACCTAAGTCCAGAGGACTAAATTACATTCCCTTAGCCAGTGAAGAGAATGGAGAGAATGGAAACCCACCAATGAAAAGCTGCACAGTTGTGTCAGATTCCAAAGATTTCATTCCCCTAACCAGCCCAGAAACTGAGGTGGATCAGAGCCAAGACATTGACAGTGACGATGAGGATCCAGGTATAGATCGGTTGTTTACAGAGGAGGAAGACCAGACATCAAGATCTGAATCCAGCAGCAGTCATCCTGCAGAGACTTCAAACAAGCCTTCATTCAAAAATATACATGATCAAAATGCATATGATGTTAAAAATCAGAAGCGATTTTTTAAGTGTGATTTATGCGACTTCATAGCACGTAACAAAGGATTAATGCTGAACCATTTTCGAAGTACTTTACACACTAGTGCTGCAGAAATAATGGGATCTCAAGTGGAAGAAGTATATCATTGTAAATCTATTATAGACCCAGCAGCAGTGCATTTACATGCAAAAAATAGAAGCAATGTGTCTGATTTAGCTATCATGTGTCCTATATGCTTTAAGTACTTTTCCACAATGTACCAGTGTGCCAATCATGCAAAAAAGGACCACGGAGAAAATGTTTATGGTGTAGGAAAAGTTATTGGGCGACATGCAACCTATATACCAACAAATTTACAATGCCTTTGTAATGAACAGTTTAATAATGACTCAAAACTTATTAAACATATACATACATGTAAGCATTTCCAAACTCAACCACAACCCAATGTTTCTTTTCTCCATGTCTGTCCATATTGTGTTCAGCTATTTATTGATGTCAATTCATGTCGAACTCACATTCAGAGTGAAAGAAAGAAACATAATGTACCCCAGATTATCGAGGTTAGCACTCTACATGTGGCTCATCCCACTATCAAAAAGCCGATGCTGCCATACGCTTGTGGTCCCACTTTACAAGACACCTCGGAAACGCGGGTGATTTATCCTCACGACAAGAAGAAAGCAATGAAGGCTTGGAGAAGAAACAAGAGTGTCACTCTGGATGCCTACCATAAGAAGAACCCATTTAAAAGGACAAAAAAGCAGTGAATCATGATTCACTGCTGTAAAGAAGTTGTGGAATTGCAGATGCGAGTTTTGTTATGCTTCTCCAAGTTCTCCAGAACTGAGGTAGATTTGTAGCAAGTTGCATACTTCCTTTGTGGAACAGAAGTTACTGTGTTCTAGATTCCTACTGAGGTGTCAATTTGACAGCAGGTTTTATTCGTACAATGAAAATTTTATGAATAATTGTTTAATTAGCTTATTCTGTATTCATTATGAAAGATTCTGATAGATTACATGCAAGATTGGTGTACATATTCAGTTTTAAATACTCTAAGTGAGAAACAGTGGTGGTTGCTACAATTACAACTAACAATACAGTTTGGAATATTTTTTAATATTTTTTGGTTTAATTAATTTTAGAATTAACTACAGACAGTAAGTTATGTTATTTAAAGCTGATTCTCATGCTTAAACAAGTTAGAAATGCTTCAATTACAAGAATGAGTTGTCTATACAAATTGAATATATTAAAAATTGAAGCTTTTTTCCATTGTGTATCATGTCTGTACAGCATCAATTTACTTCTTAAATATTTTCTCGTTTTTATGAACAAAACTTTATTTCATATCTTTATGAAATGTTAGTTTTCTCTCCTTTCCATTATTTTAATCAATTTCACCACTGTTGATTTTACAACATTATTTTTCAATGAGTATCAGTATAGCAACAAATAAAAATATCATTGAAAATATCGCTATATACAATGTAAACATGATATATTAATTGTATGTAATATGTACATGTATAATGCTTGAATTCAATCTAACTTCACACTTTTGATGCATTCTTAATGTAAATTAAGTAAAAAGTTGTAATTAGTAAGAGGGTAAATCAATTTTATATTCATCAAACATTTATTTCTTTTCTTTCTTCTTTCAATTTGCAAATAAATTGATAAGAATTAGTGAATACATGCATGTTAAAAAAAAATTATGTACACTGTAGTGAGTATTGTACAACAATTGCATAAATACCACAATTTAAGCTTCATGAAATGTGTTATTTTATAAAAATGAATGATTGTATGCATAATTACTTAACAACTGTCTTATTTTTGCATGTTTTTTTTTTCTGGATTTTATTACCCTAAAACATGGTAAATATCAGATTTTCTATATGATAAAAAATGCAGAGTTTTTGTAAGCTAATGTTTCAGTAAAGGCTTTTATAATGTAGATGTACAGAGTGGAAAATATTTCATATTTAACAGATATAAGTATAAATGTATGTTTCTGCATAATTACAAAATTAAAGTCAGAGTTCTTCTATTGTTCTGAATGTTCCTTCTGTCGTCCACATAGAGTTATCTCCTTCAAAACTGCAGATGAAGGTGTTGTCATATCTTGAATTTTCTAAATCATGCTCATTTGACATTGTATAACGCCATCTGGATGTAAAAATGCTAATGAGTGTAATAATTGCAATAATCAGAAGGCACACTCCAGCAATGGCACAGAACACAAGAATGTTCTCTTCTGTGTATTTTGTTCCCATTTTCCATCTGAAATTGAAAGGAATGATGAGAAATTGTTGGTTAGTTTATCAAATTTTCTTTACATTTATTTGGTTTCAAGGTTAAATTAAAGCAGGCAGGTAGCATTGCTTTAGAAAGAAGGGGGGGGGGGGTAATGGACAACTTACCTAAAAAATTTTGGCAAGCAGCAAAAAAGGGGGAAAAATTGAAGGGGGGTCCTTCATAACCATGTGGATGTATCATAAAATCCTTTCATAGAAATTAACATAAAAGATTAAGTATAGAAAAAAGGTGGGTCTCAAACTATGTGCCTGTACCAAAAGAGATATATGTACATGTGATATGGATGACTTGCAAAATTGTCAGCTGGATGAAGCTATGCCACTTAAGCTATCTATAGTCCATTTTAGCAAAAATTTGGGCCCATTGTCAATCTAATTGCAACGGAAATATTTTGTGATAAATAAAATCTAGCATGTATGAATTATACGCAGCAAATAAAAATCTAATAAGCGGAAAGCATAATTTTTGCAATTACTAAATAGAAAAAGGACTGTAAATCCATCCAATATTTGACTGAAGTAATCAAAAGAAAATTCCTGTTTCTCATGCAAACGTAATCTGATTTAACTTCTCTGATACAGTTTAACAGGTCATATTTTCACATAGTTTAACAGGTCATATTTTCACATAGATAATATTTTTTTCAGTAACATTATATTTATACTATATTACTAGATGAAATCCCGCGCAAGCGCGGGGAATTGAATCTATACTACTACCGACAGAAAATATTTTGTAGTTTCTACTGACAGCCTACAGGCTTATAACAGGAAGATATACTTTGTTCAAAATCTCGCATGAAGTAAATGTACGTCTCCACCCCCCACCCCCCACCCCCATTGGTAAAAACTTGAAAATTAACAATTTCATTAATTGACGTTTATTGTGAAACCTGTTATACTATGTTATGGATATTGTACTTCAAATGCTCTTATTTCATTTCCGTCAAGGATAAAAGCAGTGAATATGCACATTTTACTGATAAATTGATTTGGGGGGAGGGGTCAAAATTCAAAGGTACTTGGGTTTTGGTTTATAAATATGTTTGTATCTTGCTGATATGTAAGTAATGTACTTTACATTTTTTACATATCAATAAGGAACATACATATTTATAAACCAAGACTCAAGTACCTTTATAAAATTAGCTTTTAACGCCCTATGAATAGCCCGAGTATTTGATACAAAAGACTGTTTTCAGTAAAAAAAAAAAAAAATGAAATGTATTGATTAAAGCAAAATTTTTTACATCTTTAATTGTTTTTGAACAATACCTTATTCATTAATTTTCTCTTTACATGTAAGCAAGTTTATTACGAAGTATACAAATTGTACTTCGGGTTCATTGCCACGATGCTCTCATGAAACATTTTATTCACTTTTTGGCCTCATATGAGGCATAAAAGTACAAAAAGAAATAAATCAACAATGAAAAGGTAACAAATGAACAAAGGATTAACATATATACAATATTAATTTAGAGGTATTGGAAGGAATTTCAAGAGTGAAATAAAGACATTACAATCTTACAAAATTTAGCCAAGCCAATTAAGGTAAATTTATCATCACTGTTAAACAGGCCAGCAAAACTATTAATATTTTTCACTTTGTAAACTTTTTCAGGTATGTACTTTCTTCTTTCTTCATTGAAAAAATTGCAGTTAAAAATATAGTGAAATTCGTCTCCAATTTCTCCAACACTACAGAGATCACATAATCTATTTGCTCTATCTATATTTAAAAACCTTCCACATTCAATAGGTAATCTGTGACTAACACATCGAAATTTGCTTAAACTATAAACAAGATCAAAGGGTAACAAAGAAAAATATTTCTCTAGACCAAAGTTTGTTTTGTAGATCCTATAATTAACACATTTAGGAGAATTAAAAATATTTAACTTCCAATCTGATATAAAAGTTTCTTTACATTGGTCTTTAACCTTTTTAGATAAGCAAACATTTTTTGGAACAAACTGATCATTCCAATAATTTCCGAAACCATATTTGATCAGTACGTTACCGACATGTGACAACCACTTGAATTGGAAAATGTCCTTTTTATCAAGATTATACATAATTTCATATAACATTCGAGAGATCTTTACATTTTTTCCAGAAACAATTCTTTGCCAAAAGCCAACCATCCTGGCATTTATAGATACAGACAATGGCACTCTACCTAGTTCACCATACACAATATCATTATGAGTAGATTTTTTCACTTTCATTATATATTTACAGAATTCTAAATGTAATGACTCAATAATACTATTGTTCTCGTATCCCCAAACTTCTGAACCATACAGTAAAATAGGAGCAACCATTGCATCGAACAATTGTAATAAAATATCAACAGGCAGATATAGCTTTCTAGCTTTACTTAAAACACTAAACATAGCTTTCCTTGCTTGTTGCACAAGTCTTAATTTATTCTTCTGAAAGTTACCCTTCCTTGAAAAAATAATGCCAAGGTATTGAAACTCTTCTACAGTTGATAATTTCTCACCATTGTACACGAAAAAAGTATTTTCAGGTTGTCTACTTTTTGAAAATATTACAACATTTGTTTTTGAAGCATTAACTTTGAGATTCCAAGTTTCACAGTAAAGATACATAGCATTCAGGGCTGACTGTAACTCAGATGCAGTTTCAGCAAATATAACTGTGTCGTCAGCATATAGTAACAAATACAACTTTAAAAACACCTCAATATCATCATTATCAAAAAGTAAACGAGATATTTTACCAACATCAGTGAGCCCATTATATGCATGGGACAAGAAATCAGTCAAATCATAAAGAAATAATGAAAACAAAAGGGGAGATAGATTTTCACCTTGTCTCACACCGACATTACACGTAAAAAACTCTGAGCATTTCGCACCACTTCCTACACAAGATTTGGCATTTTTATACAAGTTCTGTAAAACATTAAGCATTTTACCATTAATATTACTGCGCAGAAGCTTCTGCCAAAGTAAAGTTCTATTAACTGAATCAAAGGCTTTTTTATAGTCAATAAATGCACAATATATTTTTTTTTACTCCTGGCTTAATACAAGTCAGTAAGACACTTCAGGTTAAAAATATGATCTACAGTTCCGTATCCTTTCCGAAAATCCGCCTGCTCTTCACAAAGAATACCAGAATTTTCCACGTAACAGGATAGCCTATTATTCAAAATACATGTAAATAGTTTCCCAAAACAACTCAGTATAGTTATTCCTCTATAGTTATCTGGGTTTGCACGATCACCTTTATTTTTAAAGATTGGGCATATAATTCCTTTAGCCCTTGATTCAGGTATAATTCCACTTTCAAAGACATATTGAAAATTTTGACAAACACTGGCATCAATTTACTAATGGAATTCTTCAAAAATTCATTGAGTCTCAGTAAGGAATATATACATTTTACCGATAAATTTATTCGGAAAACCTACTACATACATATATATATATATATATATATATATATATATATATATATATATATATATATATATATATATATATATATATATATATATATATATATATATATATATATATATATAAAATAGTCTTTCGATATATAAATATATTCACAACTTATAGTGTTATCAATGATGTTCCATTATTTCAATGAACAATCACACAAAAGTTTGTTGTTTTTTTTTATGTTATGCAGCTATAAACGCCTCGTTTTTTTTAAACATCGGGCTCGATGCTATATGATGTTCTAGAAGCTTCCGTCAATATTAAGATCGGTGAATGACGAAAATAATTTGCACATTTCCCTTTTTAATCGGTTATCACATACTATTTCTTTTATATAATTTAAATCAAGTTTTGATTGAATCATTCAGTGATGACGTTTTATGAAATAAATAAACGATTGCTTGTTGTCAGTTTCATTAAAAATTGCGAGTAACTTAGATCCGCCAACCGGAAACGCCACCGTACTCACGTTTTTGCTATTTCATGGCTGTTTATAGAAAATAAAAGTAGACTTTTAATTTAATGTACGATACTTACTATGCGAGTGAAATCTAAATATAGTTTACGGACATCATCTTGTATCTAGTGTATTGTTAGAGGAGTAAGTAAGAACTCTGGTGCACCCGTTTCGGAGTT